ATCGTGGGCTGAATCCCTTAAGAACTTAGAGAATGAATACGTTGTTTATATTGATTTTTGGTAACAAAAGAGTTTACAAAGATGATTCTTGATCTGAATAAAGAGAACAATGGAAAATGACTAAGAACAAAGTGTATTAGAGTCTCTCTCTTGAATGAGTCGAATCCCCTCTCTCTGATCTCTTCTCTTCCTTATATAGTACTAGGTCACGTCCAACTTCTTCCGGCGAAGCCTCCGTGATTATCTCCGTGAGTTGCGGGATTTGTAACAGCCTCCCCTTGACTAAGTCTTGCACGTTTCTATCTCCGTTACCTAGGCTGTTTTGTCAGGTCCTTACGAAAGAATCCAGACCTGTTCTCCGTGACCTCTTTCTCGTGACCTCTTTCTCGAGATCAGCTCCCTTCCTTAGGTGAGCTGTATTCTTCTTTGCGATATTAACCCATGTCCGGCCCATTATCGGGCTTGGTTTAACTAATTCGCTAACTTCAGCTGACGGGCTATATTTGGGCCCAACAGGTGTCATTCCACGAGTCTAACACTACTCTACTTGTTTCTGAAACTTGTGACTTGAACTCTAGCAATGCTTGTTTATCAGTCTCATCCGTCAATCTGATTGTCTGAGCACAGAGCATATCTATATCTTCAAATGACACGATGACAAAGAAAACAGATACAAGAATCAGCCTCATGACCGAAAATGGAAAACCCATGGGGAGTACAAATGATTTTTCTCCTTTAACAACCAGGATGACTGTTAATTGAAATTATTAGCAAAGAAAAAGTATTAGCATATGGATCCCTATGCAATTATGAGGAATATATAGCATAAATAGCTTCCAGAAACTGGCAGGTAGTGAGGGTATTCCACATACAGCAGGGGCCATGGGGTAAGCAGATTATTCTCAACGATCATTGGCTTTTGACCCTCAAAGTAAAATAGAGCTATGACTTTTTCTCGCGTTGCCTCAGCTAATTGTTAAACTAGCTCATTTCGTCAAAGTCAACTGCCAGGCTCAGGTCACATATATACTTTACAAGAGAAAACGAGATTAATTAACACTAGTAAAAACGACCAGTTATAAAAAAATATAGCCTACAAATGTTTGTCAAGTTCTTAGCAACGACCATCACATCAAACGACCAACACGCTTCTATTGTTTTCTGTAAAAGCAATTAAAAACCAATAGCATAATTACAGTTATTGAAAGAAATCTTAACCCGACCTAGCCGACTAGCAGAAGAAAACAATAAATATCACTATCTAATACATTCATATTCATACAATAATCTTTGTAGACCACGTCAATTACCTCTCTAATTTGGTTATTACAGGAACATAAAGAGTTGCAAGCCAGAGTCATTCGCTCCTGAGGAAGACCCGAGTCTGTAAACACAGGTCACCAAAGCCACTAACAACAACAAATGTATATATAATAGTATATCAAAGTGCAAGTGAACCATAAACGACTTCATTCATTTCAAACAGTTGAAGTAATAACAAGTCTCAGATGTCACAACAAACATAGCATGACGGTTAAAGCGCAAAGCAGTTTATATAACCAACTCTCTTGTAAAGAACAACACATCACATTCAGAGAGACTCTAGCATACCATAATCTATCCCTTTTAGCGACGGCGACCCTCCCTGCTTGAATAATCACTATCTTTCCTAGATGATGATAATGTTTGCCGACTTGAACCTTCTCCCTCCCTGTCAATATAATCTCTTCTAGATCTTTCCTTGGATTTCTCGCTATCATGTGTTCTGGATCTCTTGTCTTCCCTTACATAATCCTTTTCAGCATCGTGTCTTCTATATTGCGAATCATCAAGCCGCCCTGATCTCTTTTGTTCCCTCCTATCATACGAATCTCTCGACCTTGGCTCCCTTTCTACTCTTTCTCTTTCTCCATGACCCTTTCCTCTGTAATTCTTCTCTTCCTCCGCATCAGGATTGAAATCTCCTCGATGGCCACCACCCTTCTTGGCACCATTAAACTTGTCATGATCCCACTTGGCGCTTCTATCCTCTTCATGACCCCAACCAGTATTTGCAGCTCTCTGTCCATGACAAAAGAAACAAAATGAGAATAACAACCTAAGCATAAATCTGAGTATAAAGAATCAAACGCATAAATCTGAGGTGAATGTCAACTTACTTTCTCGTCGTGTGAGAATTTACAAGAATCACCACGAGTACACTCTCCTCGCTGAAAAGCTCTGCACACACCACGTGCCTCTCTGTTATGCTGTCGCATCTCTTCATCTTCCTCTTCATGCTTCTTGTATTCCCTACAATGGTCAACCTTAATGGTCCTCCCCAACACCTGAGCTCCATTCAGATTATCTGCAATTTCAATATAACAATGATAAGTACAATAACTATATAGAAATAGAACAAGTAAGAGAATCCTTTAATTTTAACTTTACCAACAGCGAGAATGGTACTTCTTTGATCTTCATAAGCAAGAAACGCAAAACCCTTAGATTTTCCAGTGGCCTTGTCTCTTATAAGATTGACATCTACGACTTCACCATATCTACAAATCAACAACACCATCAAACACAAAATCTGTAAAGATAATAATAGGGAAGGAATCAGGTCTATAGCAATCACTTACTGTGCGAAAACGGCGAGGAGATCACCCTCCGTGAGGTCGAAAGCTAAGCCTCCGGCGTATATATACGCAGAATTTTTGTACCTGGAGTGCCACGAGGCCTCTTCGGAGATTCCTAGATCTGCTTCCTTGGCGTTTATAGCCTGTGTCCACTTTATCTGCGTCAATGGATTCATCCTTCCCCAAATACAATCTCTCTTCGCTCGTTGCAGAGAGAGTGGGAGAAACCCTAAGCAAACAACGACGACGAGTCCGCCACAGATTTAGCTGACCGGGTCGGGTTTATAATCAACTGACCCGGACTGGTCTGGCCCATAGGAGTATATAAAAGGAACATTCCAATAGGTTAATTTGCTAGGCCCAATTGTTTTATCTGGGCCGGGAGAATCTGTTGCCATCTATCTATCTAAATAAAATCCTCCTCCTATGCATCTACGTCATCAATTCAGGTAATCTCAGCGTGCCAGGTTAATTCTCCGTAAAATTATCTTTATTGATGTGTTAACTTTTGGGCTAGCATTTGATAAAAGACATGGGCTTAATGACTCTTCACATGGCCCAAAATTCAGCCCTAGCTTCTTTTCTTCATCTTGGTTTTCTTCTCCCCGATTATTCTTTTTCCATCTTCCAAAAGCTTTAACTGTAACATTACCAATTCGAATTGTAGCATATAATGATCCTTCTCTGTTTCTCTCTCCAAACGCAAATGATGGACTCAAAGAAATGATGAAGACCATCTTCACACGTCCAGAGAGGAGATGGAGAATATCTTCCTCCACGATGATGGCAGTCTGAGAAGCAAAGTTTACAGCTGAAACACAAAACAAGTATGAAGATCAATAGAAGTTTGGCATAAATAAGATTCTGTTTCATTCTAAGAGGATTTTATAGAAATTGAACTATTTGGCTGATTTTAATTAGTTATGTCTATCCAGTTGACTTTATCATGCTATTACCCTACGTGACTGAAACTTTTCCAAACTTTTCTCGAGGCTTTCAACCTCAGGAAAGCATATCTGAATTTTTCATCTACAACTCCCGCAGACAATGGTAAAAGATTGAGTCAACAACATCCTTGAATAGGCCTGGGCTCTTTACCTCATACCGAAGTCCCTACCTTAGCCCGAACCGAAAAAATCGAAACCGGATCCGAACCGTTATATAAGAATATCCAAATGGGACTTGAGAGTTTGGTACTTTGGAGTATGGGTATAACCCGAACCGAACCGAAATCCAAACTTGGATCCGACTATATCCGAAATTAGTGAAATATGTTACTATTTTTATATATGTTAAAGGAATTTACATGTTTTAGAATATTTTAAATTTTTAATAGTTTATTTTATTTGTTATCTTGAATAAATTTTAACAGATTAATGTACTTTGGCATGTTATTAGTTAGTTTTGTTAATAATTTAAATATTTTTAGTATTTTTTTTAAACAATTTTTTAAGTTTTAAAAAATATTTTTGAACGATTTTATACATTTGTTATAATCCGATCCCGAACCGAACTTAGAGGAACCGAACCGAATCTGACCGATAATTAGTATAACCCGAATGGGACTTATGTACATAGTACCAAAAATCTGAAAACCGAAATCAACCGAACCGAATCCGACGGGAGTCCCGAACGCCCACGTCTATCCTTGAACATGGGAGTTATAGCTCAAAGAACACCGATAGCACAAATAAATATTTCCACAATTCTATCTCGAAAGTAAGGTTGGCAGTTAGATGCAATTGTATCTCATTGTACCATTCCAGCCATATATATACATGTGTCGTACTTCTATATATATTCACTTGATAAATATTAGAAAACATACCCAACGTGGTGTCCTTTAGGCTTTATATAGTGTGAATACATACTGTGAGAAGATGATGGATCGTTGATCATCGATCATGGTCTTGATAATATTTATATGATTCATGCGGCAGATCTGTTTTTATTGATCCTTCACCTAGATTTCAGGATTTGGATATGTTCTTTGTTCTCATGTTAATCTTTGTTGGTGATTGATTTGGATTCATATAAATGAAAGTCATGCTTGCTCTTTGCTCTCATGTTAATCTTTGTTGGTGATTGATTTGGATTCATATAAATGAAAGTCATGCTTGCTGGATATTTATCTGATAACAGTATAGGGGTGTCAAGGTTACAGATGTGGTTTTGAGTGGAGCTTCCATTGGTATCTACGAGGCTCTTGAGCTCATGCATGGTGGATCAAATCACTTTGAGAAGGGTGTCTCTAAGATGAGAAATTAGGTTGTTAGTGAGATATTATCCAATTTTTTTTTAAACTGTTATCCGATATTTGTCCTATTTGTTTTATATTGATGTCATTGTCAATAAACTGCTGGGAATGTCAACTCGATCATTGGCCCAGCGTTGATGAAAAAGGTGAATGTTTCCTTGATTTATGTTTAGTGCTTAAGTTTGTTTCTAAAGCTGTTTTTTTTCTCACATTCATGTGATTTTTTTTTGTTTCTTGCTGGATCCAACTCAACAGACTGCTATTGACAACTTTATGGTCTATGAACTGATAAAAACGAGTGGGGTTGGCGCAATCAAATGGTAATTCAATGGAAATTCATGTTTTATGTATGTACTCAATAATGAAAGATGATTCTGACCATCTTGGTTCTTCTTTTTGTGGACAGCTTGAATCCATTGGTATCCTTGCTATGCGTAAAGCTGGGGCCATTATCAATAGCATTCCTCTCTACAAAGCAAAGGTAGGAAAGCAAAAGGTAAACAGAGATTAGAGTATTAGACGATGGGGTAACCTTCCTCATCAACAAAGATATAAAGGAAAACAATTAAAAAAAAATATGAATGATTTCTTTATTTTACATTTTTCATGGTAAGATAATTTTGTAAATTATAAAAAAAAAGAAGGAAATAGTAGAATTGGTAAGGTAATGTTTATAAGTGTCAACCTTTTGACTCATGAAAGTTTTGTAAACTATTTGGACTTGAGTCTTCTTAAGAGCCAAAACCAATGTCTTTGTAATTGCTCGGCTCTTTCGAGAATTACAATCATGCAGAAGAAAAGAATAATTATGCAACAATTTTTTTTCTACGTGGTTCTCTCCGAGAAATACAAACAACAGAGGTTTTACCAACAAAAAAAAGGTAACAGCAAAAGGCAATGAGAAGAGAAATACAAACAACCGAGCATTTTAACCAAATTTTACTAAAAAGTTTTTTTATGCTTACCAAAGTTCTTTATGAACCTAACCAAAAATATATTGGTTTTAATTCCATTAACGTAAAGATGCATTATCTTTTTTAGCATCAAAAAATTTGCATATTATGAATTTAAAGTAATTATTGGTTTGAATCTACTTTTATAACTTCACTAGGGGTTTGTCCGCGCTTCGCGCGGAAGTTTTAATATTTTAAATTTTAAAATTGGTATATTTACTGTATCTAAAGTAGACTACGCTAATACTATTTTAAAATGAATAAATCTCTATATTATTGTATTTAATATGAAAATTTATAATATATATATATATATCAAGTTTCAATATATATATATATATATATATATAGATATATCTTAATCACCACTTATTAAAATATAATTATATTAGTATAACTAAATTGATCAATTCCATTATTTGTTTAAAGTTATGTTGATTTTGGCTATTATGATTTGAAAATTAATATTAATGTGGACTATAAAGATCTCAATGATTATAAGTATATATATATATATAATTTTATATTTTATATGAAGATATTTATACATAGGTTAGCTCTTTTATGAATTTCCAAAAACTGGTTCAAGTAATTAAAACATCGATCACGATTTGTTATTGTGAACTGAGAACTCAAAGCAAAGTCTCATGTTTTTTTGGATTATAAAAACATGTGTGACTGGATTTACGATGCTTATGCATCCAATGATTTATTTTCTAATGGCTGGGGGTGGGATATCTATTATTAGACAGATTGTTTGGAAGCACGTAATCTTGCTTTTTTCAACTAATGTCAATCTGCAATGCATGAGTTCAAAGATGCTATGGATAAGTTCCATATTGGTGACTTTCTGTTTATTGGTTACCGACAACACAACCTCTATAAACAAACCAACAAAACAGAAACACAAACATACAAATGAGGAACCATTTTTAGTAATACAAAATGTTTATTATTCACCAATTCTGTAATTATTTCCTCTTATTCTCTTAATCACCACAGAAAATATAGTTTGAACGGATCTGCTTAAAACTTCAACCATTGCATTGTAAACAACAACATCCTTCACTTTGGTCGTACAATCTCTCCAGCATCCTCCACAAAAACTTGTTTCATGTAACCTGAGATCATCGATCTAGAACATAGAACGTTATCATCTTTCATCGTTCCAAACACAATCCTTGTTTCCATGAATGAATCAAGTAGCTATTTATTACTACTTCTTAATCTCACGATCACCATAAGCGGGAGAGCATTTGATGACAATGAGATGTTTTCATCTTTCTTCCCTCTCTGCAATTCAGAATCAAAAGTTAGTAACACAACATTTCGGTCTTGCTGCTGAAACATTCAAAATTTACCTCACCAGTTCAAAGTGAAAAGGGGGCAAGAACCAAACTTTAAGATTCACTCAGTTACTCTACACATTCTTCCGTGTTGAGAAAGACCTGAAAGAAGTAAGAAGAAGCTGGAGAGTGATAAATTTGCAGAGGTGGGTTGGTTTCATTTTAGAGGTTAGCACAGAGAAAAAACTTTGGATGGTCCAGTTTCCAATTAAATAGATATTTTTTTTTCCTCTTTGTGCTGCCTCCAAGCATGAGCCAAGAACCAAACTTTGGTTTGACTAATCTGACTCTGGTTGTTTCTCCAATCTGGTGTCTGTGTAGATAGAAATGTGCCTTAAATGAGCTGCACATATCAAAGTGACTTGTACAATAAGTTAGAGTTTTTGGTGAAGTTTGTATATGCTTAAAAGTTAAAAAAAAACAGAGAAATGCATAATCACTGACTGATTTGGCTTTGGATCTTTGGCTTGTAATCATAATGCTCGTCGTCTTGTATATACGAAAACAGTGAATTGTTGTTTGCTCGAAAAAATTGATGCATAGCAAGTCCAACCTCTGGAACCATTCATGCAACTATATAATGGTGAGAATATTTTGTTTCACTGAATAAAATGTTTATCTGGATACTACCTTTAACTATCTCTCTGTTATAATTTTTTAAAAAATTTCAATGAGCTCTCTAATTTGAACAACCAAAGCTTATTTACTCGCATAAGAGA